ACGCCGCTTTTAACACTATTCCAGTTATATCACGGCGTGTCAGCTTAATGTGGGAGGAAAGCCCGAAGTGATGCAGGTCTCAGACGTTTACCACTTCGGTGAAACCCACGAGCACGGGTATGGTGCTGACAAACCTAGAAACATAATTGGGGCGAACCAGGATTCGAACCCACAACTCTGCACAGCGAATCGCGGCGCCTTAGACGACTGGGCCACCTGTGCCCCCTAACAAGCAGGATATAGAGGTAGTTTGCCGTCTGCTAGCATGTGGGCCCCCAATCCCAGCAAATCCGGAAACTGCAGAGAACTTTGCAAACGCTGCAGTCAAAGGTCTCTTCCAATTGAAGACATACATTGACCTTGTGAAGAAACATAAAATATTTTCTGAAATGTGAGCAGGCATAGACTTAACATAGGAATGCCTATTTTTGTACACTTGTAAATACTGTATTTATATGTCTGTAACTCTCTTATGGTGGAGTAAAAGATGCCTATAGTTATTGACTCATACCTTAATGTTTGTCCCTTGTACAGTTTGTTGACTTTTGGGCTATTTACACATATCCGTTTTTAACCAGAATCCGAATCCACATCACACAACCTCCTACACCCGAGCTGTATGTTACATCACACACAACCTCCTACACCCGGCCCGTATGTTACATCACACACAACCTCCTACACCCGAGCTGTATGTTACATCTCACACAACCTCCTCCACCCGAGCTGTATGTTACATCACACACAACCTCCTACACCCGAGCTGTATGTTACATCACACACAACGTCCTACACCCGGCCCGTATGTTACATCACACAACCTCCTACACCCGGCCTGTGTGCTACATCACACACAACCTCCTACACCCGAGCTGTATGTTACATCTCACACAACCTCCTCCACCCGAGCTGTATGTTACATCACACACAACCTCCTACACCCGAGCTGTATGTTACATCTCACAGAACCTCCTACACCCGAGCTGTATGTTACATCACACACAACGTCCTACACCCGAGCTGTATGTTACATCTCACAGAACCTCCTACACCCGAGCTGTATGTTACATCACACACAACCTCCTACACCCGAGCTGTATGTTACATCTCACAGAACCTCCTACACCCGGCCCGCATGTTACATCACACACAACCTCCTACACCCGGCCTGTATGTTACATCACACACAACGTCCTACACCCGAGCTGTATGTTACATCACACACAACCTCCTACACCCGGCCTGTATGTTACATCACACACAACCTCCTACACCTGGCCTGTATGTTACATCACACACAACCTCCTACACCCGAGCTGTATGTTACATCACACACAACCTCCTACACCCAGCCTGTATGTTACATCTCACACAACCTCCTACACCCGGCCCGTATGTGACATCACAGAACCTCCTACACCCGGCCTGTATGTTACATCACACACAACCTCCTACACCCGGCCTGTATGTTACATCACACACAACCTCCTAAACCAGAGCTGTATGTTACATCACACACAACCTCCTACACCCGGCCTGTATGTTACATCACACACAACCTCCTACACCCGGCCTGTATGTTACATCACACACAACCTCCTACACCCGAGCTGTATGTTACATCACACACAACCTACTACACCCGGCCTGTATGTTACATCACACACAACCTCCTCCACCCGAGCTGTATGTTACATCACACACAACCTCCTACACCCGGCCTGTATGTTACATCACACACAACCTCCTACACCCGGCCTGTATGTTACATCACACACAACCTCCTACACCCGAGCTGTATGTTACATCACACACAACCTCCTACACCCGGCCTGTATGTTACATCTCACACAACCTCCTACACCCGGCCTGTATGTTACATCACACACAACCTCCTACACCCGGCCTGTATGTTACATCACACACAACCTCCTACACCCGAGCTGTATGTTACATCACACACAACCTCCCACACCCGGCCTGTATGTTACATCACACACAACCTCCTACACCCGAGCTGTATGTTACATCACACACAACCTCCTACACCCGAGCTGTATGTTACATCACACACAACCTCCTACACCCGGCCTGTATGTTACATCTCACACAACCTCCTACACCCGGCCCGCATGTTACATCACACACAACCTCCTACACCCGGCCTGTATGTTACATCACACACAACCTCCTCCACCCGGCCTGTATGTTACATCTCACACAACCTCCTACACCCGGCCTGTATGTGACATCGCAGAACCTCCTACACCCGGCCTGTATGTTACATCTCACACAACCTCCTACACCCGGCCCGCATGTTACATCACACACAACCTCCTCCACCCGGCCTGTATGTTACATCTCACACAACCTCCTACACCCGGCCTGTATGTGACATCACAGAACCTCCTACACCCGGCCTGTATGTTACATCTCACACAACCTCCTACACCCGGCCCGCATGTTACATCACACACAACCTCCTACACCCGAGCTGTATGTTACATCTCACACAACCTCCTACACCCGAGCTGTATGTTACATCACACACAACCTCCTACACCCGAGCTGTATGTTACATCACACACAACCTCCTACACCCGGCCTGTATGTTACATCTCACACAACCTCCTACACCCGAGCTGTATGTTACACCACACACAACCTCCTACACCCGGCCTGTACGTTACATCACACACAACCTCCTATACCAGGCCCGTATGTTACATCACACAACCTCCTACACCCGGCATGTATGTTACATCACACACAACCTCCTACACCCGGCCCGTATGTTACATCACACAACCTCCTACACCCGAGCTGTATGTTACATCTCACACAACCTCCTACACCCTGCCTGTATGTTACACCACACACAACCTCCTACACCCTGCCTGTATGTTACATCACACACAACCTCCTACACCCGGCCCGTATGTTACATCACACACAACGTCCAACACCCGGCCTGTATGTTACATAACACACAACCTCCTACACCGGCCCGTATGTTACATCTCACACAACCTCCTACACCCGGCCTGTATGTGACATCGCAGAACCTCCTACACCCGGCCTGTATGTTACATCTCACACAACCTCCTACACCCGGCCTGTATGTGACATCACAGAACCTCCTACACCCGGCCTGTATGTTACATCTCACACAACCTCCTACACCCGGCCTGTATGTTACATCTCACACAACCTCCTACACCCGGCCCGCATGTTACATCACACACAACCTCCTCCACCCGGCCTGTATGTTACATCTCACACAACCTCCTACACCCGGCCTGTATGTGACATCACAGAACCTCCTACACCCGGCCTGTATGTTACATCTCACACAACCTCCTACACCCGGCCCGCATGTTACATCACACACAACCTCCTACACCCGAGCTGTATGTTACATCTCACACAACCTCCTACACCCGAGCTGTATGTTACATCACACACAACCTCCTACACCCGAGCTGTATGTTACATCACACACAACCTCCTACACCCGGCCTGTATGTTACATCTCACACAACCTCCTACACCCGAGCTGTATGTTACACCACACACAACCTCCTACACCCGGCCTGTACGTTACATCACACACAACCTCCTATACCAGGCCCGTATGTTACATCACACAACCTCCTACACCCGGCATGTATGTTACATCACACACAACCTCCTACACCCGGCCCGTATGTTACATCACACAACCTCCTACACCCGAGCTGTATGTTACATCTCACACAACCTCCTACACCCTGCCTGTATGTTACACCACACACAACCTCCTACACCCTGCCTGTATGTTACATCACACACAACCTCCTACACCCGGCCCGTATGTTACATCACACACAACGTCCAACACCCGGCCTGTATGTTACATAACACACAACCTCCTACACCGGCCCGTATGTTTTATCACACACAACCTCCTACACCCAAGCTGAATGTTACGCCATTGTTTGTCAATCCCAACACAACTGGCATACCGGGCGTAACCGGTCACGTATGAACAACGCAATTTTTTAAGCACTTTGTAGCCAGAGCGGCCTTGTTTGCATGGTGCGTTTTTTTCAATCAACCAACACCGTATGAATAACAACGGCCAGGGCCAGACCTACATTCCTGATCTTGCAGAGATAAGTTTTGTCCATGTTTCGCCTTTCAATTTGATTTACCGTAAGCTTTTTCAATTCCTTTCATGTTTAATAAACACAAAAAAAGATTGAACGTGGGTTTGCGGTCCTTGACAAATGTTGAGTAATATATTAGTCTGAGTTATCACCTTTTATGGAACTTACTTTCATTTACAGCACAAACATGTTTTAAGTTACTTTAAACGTCTTTCTTGAATTGCAACACCAGAGGACCATAAGCCGATTTCCTGATCGCCATGTCGGATAAGGTTTTCTTTTAGAGACATCCTATATGATTTCGCTCAGGGATATACAAACTTTCACGATGACTGTTCGACTGACGTAAGCTCACTCCTATGTGTACAGTCAAGCGTGCCAAGAATCAGACATTACGTGATTAAGCTGCGCACGGACTAGTTGTGGGGTGCATGCAGTGTCTGTGGCAATTTTGCTCGCAGGGTTGTTGATTCGAGCGAGTTTACAAGTTACACAATTAATTTTTAAAACACGATTACTTTGGTCGTCGAAAATGTGAACTTTGAATAATGATAACAGATCGAAAGCAACCACATTTCTATACATTTTCATACCATACCCTGCTGCCGACGAAAACGTTGAATCAGGCATGTTCAATGTGTATTTGTGATTTGTTAGTAACGTCTTCGTCATTGACCAATACCCATTTAGCAAACGCAATCACGTATTCCCTCCCAAAAAATATATTTACCGACAAATACCCGAGTTCGTTATCATATAGGAAAACAACTTATTTGATATTTCTCAAAACAAACTGGCCTTCTTTCCCTAAATTGTTAGTAGCTTCACATTTGTAAGGGTCACAAAACTCACCTCGTCCTTTTTCTTCTTCTTACCAACGGCGGCAAGTAATTCGCTGTGGTTCCTGTCAACTTTCTCCGACAGCGCATCCACTGTTTGTTTCAAGGAATGCACCTGTAAGGCCGTATCTGTAGACATGGCTGGCACTTAACAATCCACGTCCAAGAAATCCTCACTTTCCAAGATCTAAAGATGTTGCGCAGAGGACGGACTCCACCGATTGTTGTCGACAAGGATTGATCGCTAGACCCCCGGGTAACCTACGGGTACGGTATTGTGGCGCTCTGTTCTCGTTTCAGGGCCAGAAACGGTTTTCCGACGTGCAAGAACAGGCTGCTGAATGAACTATTTGATGATATTCGGGATTCACGGAAGGATGGGTTTGGTTGTGATAACAAACTTGAGTCATGACTCATGTACTTGATTTACTGGGTGTGAACACGAGTGGTTATTGTTTTTTCATTGAACATCTACAGGACACACACGCACGCACGCACGCACGCACGCACGCCCCCACACAGGGGAGAGGGATAGACAGACACCCCAAAAAATGCTCGCTTACAGATTTGTTTGTTTGTTCTTTAACGCTGCACTCAGCAATATTCCAGCTCTATGACGGCGGTCTGTAAATACGTCTGGACCAGACAATCCAATGATTGACATCATGAGCATCTATCAACGCAATTTGGATACGATGACATGCATCAGGTAAGTCAGCGAGCCTGACCACCCGATTCCGTTAGTCGCCTCTTACATGCATAGTCGCCTTTTACGGCAAGCATGGGTTGTTGAAGACCAATTCTACCCCGGAACTTTACTCTCTCTCTCTCCCATTCGCTTTCACTCCTCTTGCACCCAGCCCCCACCCCCACCCTCTCTCTTTCTCTCCGAGCACCTGTTTATCTCACACTGACCGGTATGAATGAAGTGTACCGTACAGTGTAAACATATAAACCCTCTGGCAACATATATATTTTATAGGATAAGATATAGGATAACTTAAGCCTTGTGTTTTCTGAACCGGAGCGGTTTTATACAGGTGTTGGCAGTGTGACGAGAGGCCAGGTAATTTCTGTGATGTTTGTGATCGGAAACCGGTTTCATGGCTGTTGCAGGTAACGCCTTCGCTGCTGTTAATCTGTATGCTGTTATATTCATTCCAAAATAGGTCAAAGCTAACTCAGCAGTGTTAGATCTACAAGATTTCTTTAACAGTTATAGAATTGTACTAATGTCCGATAGCAAAACCGTGACCTTCTCCCCTGTTAATCGCGTGCACTTATTTGTAACTTCCACTCCATAAGCGGTTTAACAGGCATTCTCATAATCTTGTTCAAAACATCTCGAAAAGTAAAACAATCTTAACTAACTAACTAAATTTTAATTCTTGTCTTTGAAAGGCATTTAGAAGCGATACACATAAGGAAGAGAACTTATTGCTGACATTCACCTTATGAATGGGTACTAAGTATATACTCCTAAACTTTGTGTTCCTCATAATAAAAAAGTCGATATCCATAAGTTAATCCTTAAATCAATTCTAATGAAAGTAAGTGCAAAAACACTAGTGCCAGACAGAAACCCACTTGAAATGTTTCTCCATGTCGTAAATAAAAAAGCAAGTGAACAAATTTGGGAAATATGGGGGATAAATATTTCTGTAGCCCGGCCGAGGTCACTGCTTGTTAGATTTTTTGAATGACATATGCCCAATGAATATCTCAAATACTTTTCATTAAACAGGGTTGAAATCGAGCAAATCTGAAGTTGGTATGAGATATAAATGTAAGTAGTTATATGGAGTCGTCTTAATGCCGACCAAAAGACTGAATGTCGGGTATCTGGGCGACATCACCAACCCAATGTAACACAGCACCTTTCACCCATGAGACTTGTAGCAAACAGACGATACCTCAGAGTGTATCGTGTTACACCCGAGGGAGCAAGGGGGACTTAACGGCGTGTGTTGTGTAGGGTAAGATATATCAATTACTATAGTGGTATTTACCCCATATGTACCACAAGAACACAAATCAGAACACTTAAATCAGTCCCACAGTCTTAACATTAAATTAGTAGTGACTTCTGCGATCTCTTTGTAATAATTGTGTGCATTGGCGTACAGCAAATGCCTTGCTGAAATACATTTCGTCTCTCTTATGAAAAGCCGGGAATGCTCCCGTCTTCGTCTTTTTACATTTGTAAGCACGAGGAAAAAAAGATTTTTCACGTCAAATGTCGATCATGCTGAGAATTGTTACAGATTCGCATGGCCACCCTTTCGTGTGAATTTGGGAACCCTGGTAATTGCACATAATCGGGAATCTGTCGAGGATTGCACAATGGCCACAGCCATACAGTAAATCCAAGATGGCGGACTCACAAATGACGTTCGTTCTTTGAGCCGAGGGGGCACGGGTGTCTAGGCGCCGCGATTCGCTGTGCAGAGTTGCGTCCCTTAGGCACGCCAGAAACCTATGATTGGGCGTTCGAATCCCGGTTCGCCTCGGTTATGTTTCTAGGTTTGTCAACACTAAACCCGTGCTCATGGGTTTCACCGAAGTAGTAAACGTCTGAGACCTGCATCACTTCGGACTTCCCTCCCACATTAAGCTGACACGCCGTGATATAACTGGAATACTGTTAAAAGCGGCGTTAAACCCAACTCACCCAGTTACTCTTTGAGCTGAAGGAGACCGTGGTGTTAATTTTTTTTTTTTAAAAACACGCATTTTTTTAACACCCCCCCCCCCCCCCCCCCCCCAGTCCGTTGTGCCAGGACACGAGTGAAGGATCGTTCAAGTTGTTGTTTCAGAGGACATCTCTTCCCCTCAGTGATACCAGTAATATTAAGAATCCGGTCTTACAGGTTCATTGTGTTTGCCTTTTCGGATAAATGGGCTCCTACGTATTAAATGAGTATTGCCTATGTAGTTGCAGTGGGACTTGAGTGGAGGAATGAGTTATTTGTATTGGTGTAACCCCGCTATATCACGCACTTAGTCGTCAGTCGTGCATGTCCATATCTGAATGTCTTCATGCATTTCGAGGATGTTCAGCCATTAAGTGCAACCAGCCGAGCAGAACAGCCTTGGGCTTGTTGGCCAAGGTGCGTGAAGAACAATGGGTCGATGACACGGGGGCTACAGGCCAAAGAACGCTGGATGCGACTTCTTGTGCTAACATATTTTCAAGATGGGCAGGCAGCAGGCACTGTTTACCTCTGAGAACCATCCACAGTTATTTTTCATATATTTGCTTTCAATGAAAAGCCATCGGCCCTTCGCGTACAATGCATTTCTTTATGGGTTGTGACCAAGTGGACACGGAATGCCCGCGTGGCGTTAGAATAGTCCCCAGCAACCTATGCTGGTCGAAAGAGTGAGTGAATTGGGTTTAACGCCGCTTTTAACAGTATTCCAGCTATATCACGGCGTGTCAGCTTAATGTGGGAGGAAAGCCCGATGTGATGCTGGTCTAAGTGAGTGAGTGAATATTGCTTAACGCCGCATCAGCAATTTTGCAGCTATTCGCGGCGAGCTGGTCTAAGACGTTTACCACTTCGGTGAAACCCTAGAGCACGGGTATGGTGCTGACAAACCTAGAAACATAATCGGGGCGAACCGATTTCGAAACTGGTCTAAAGAGGCGACCACATGAATGGGGTGGTCAGGTTCGGCGACGTGGTTGATTTCATGTCATCGTACTCTTGCCATTGCTCAAAGTATCAATCACAGGATTATCTGGTCCAGACTCGATTATTTACAGGCCGCCGTCATATAGCTGGAATATTGCTGAGTGCAGTGACAAACAACAAAGTTAACTTTGAATGATATACATACACAAGTCATGAAAGTTGCGGATTGCACACAGCCCCATTGAAGATCCGGGTTAGTATTCATCTTAAGCAACCCATGCTTGTTGTTAAGGAAGGCGACTAATGAGATCGGGTGGTCAGGCTCGCTGACTTGGTTGATGCATGTCATCGTATCCCAATTGCATTAGATAGATGCTGATGATATCAATAAATGAATTGTCTGGTCAAGATTCGATTATTTGCAGACCGCCGTCACACAGCTGGACTATTGCTGAGTGCGGCGTTAAACAACAAAGTAACGTTTGTTTGTTGTTTAACGCAGCATTCAGCAATATTCAAGCTATATGACGGCATGGGGACTTAACGGCGTCTGTTGTGTAGGGTAAGATATATCAATTACTATAGTGGTATTTACCCCATATGTACCACAAGAACTCAAATCAGAACACTTAAATCAGTCCCACAGTCTTAACATTAAATTAGTAGTGCCTTCTGCGATTTCCTTGTAATAATTGTGTGCATTGGCGTACAGCAAATGCCTTGCTGAAATACATTTTGTGTCTCTTATGACAAGCCGGGAATGCTCCCGTCTTTACGATTTTTTACATTTGTAAGAACGAGGAAGAAAAGATTTTTCACGTCAAATGTCGTTCATGTTGAGAATTGTTACAGATTCGCATGGCCACCCTTTCATTGGAATTTGGGAACCCTGGTAATCGCACATAATCGGGAATCTGTCGAGGATTGCACAATGGCCACAGCCATACAGTAAATCCAAGATGGCGGACTCGACGCCAACACAATAGAAGTGTGGGAGTGACGGTTTGCGTCATCCACTGTAAGGGAGACTACTCAAAGGAAACAGGAATAGCAATAACTACCTGACTGTGTATTGTATTCAGGATTGATGTCATTGATGTTTCAGTGTCCAAGAGGAGTACGTCAGGGTTGTGTGTTAAGCCCCCTTTTATTCTCGATGTTTATTAACGAACTAGCTGCTGAAGTTGAACAGAATTCTGGACCAGGAATACAACTTCATCCTGATATAACAGAGATATTCCTGTTATTTTTCGCAGACGATATTATTTTAATTGCAGATACTATAGGTGGACTTCAGAAGCGTATTGATGTTCTAGAAAAATATTGTAATGATTATGATCTAGATGTCAATTTAGATAAGAAAAGAGATTTGGTACTATAAAGGTCTAAAGTTGTGTGTGTCCTCCTATAAATATTCGGGCGTTACTTTTACGAGAAGCCTGTCCTGGTCAAGTCATTTTTCTAATGCTGGTCTACAAGGGAAAAAAGCAATGTTTGGAATTTTAAAGTCATTGATAAAATTACATCCTCTTCGATATGACTTATATTTTAAAATATTTGATATGAAAATAGTCCCAACTTTGCTCTATGGTTCCGGAGTCTGGGGTCTACACCAGAATGATGAAATGGAAACTATACATACATTGGCATGCAAGCGCTTTTTAGGTGTCAAATCGTCAACACCCAACAACATGGTTCGAGGTGAATGTGGGCGGTATCCATTATATATTTATGC